GGTCAAGGCAAAAACATGAGACCCTATTTGGAAAAATGAGTAAAGTGAAAAGGACTAGTGGTGTTTAAGTGATAGAGCATCTTCCACAAGTCTCCAAGTTTAAACTCCAGTGCTGCCAAAGAATATAAGAGAATATAGCCCTTGTTCTTAAGCAAAGGAATAAAAGGGTATGATAAAAATGGACTTTAACAAGGAAAAGAAGACATCCACTAAAGAAAGAAAAGCTGAGAAAGCTCCAGGACATCACCAGAAAGACAAGAGTTGTTTTACGCTGAAAAAGGCCTTCATTCACCGTAGGGACAAGGGTGAATTAAAGGGGACTTATGGGATCCCCAATTGATCTTGAGGTTCCATCACTAGCTTCTAGGAGGAAACTTTTCAGCATGTTCTCAGGTAGCTTCTAGAAATAGTCTGATTAGAGCAGAAAGGCACTGAATCCCCCCAACCCTCCAGGATCAGGATGTTTGAAACCTGCTTGATTCTCCAGAGCAGTTCATCTACAGCAGAACAGAGCATCTGTACTTGGCCTTCCCTGGCTTTTTTTTTTTTTTTGGTCGGTCGTAGGGCTTGAACTCTGAGCTTGGACGCTGTCCCAGAGATCTTCAGCTCAAGGCTAATGCTCTACCACTTGAGCCACAACACCACTTCTGGTTTTCTAGTGGTTAATTGGATCTCAGCCTCCTGAGTAGATGTGATTATAGGCATGAGCGCCTTCCCTGGGTTTGACATTTCTTTCCTATGACATGTCAAGAACAACCTGGTTCATTTACCCATCCTCAGTAGGCATACTCCACTCTGCAGCTGTGATTAGGCCTGTCTACATTCACATGTCCCATTCAGTCTCCCAATCACTAATGACTAAATCTACTCCTGCAAAGGCCAAATGAGGGACTGGAGTATGGCTCAATGGTAAAGCACTTGCCTAGGATGTAAAGCCCAATCACCAGTGGGAGGAGGGATGTAAAGGGCATCCTGACTGCTGCCCTCTGCTCCTGATCTCTAGCTTTCTCTTGGAAAGTAGACTCTTTCTTTAGCTTCCAGTATATTCCAAGCCTCTAGATCTCCTCTTTTTGTGGTTCTACCACTTCTTCCATTCCTGTGGCTCAAGAGAACACTACTACACTAGAGATCTTAACTTCCCATTTGGGTCTGTCACTTACAATTTTCATCAGCTTCCTGCCTCTTGAGACAATGTAGGAACACAAATTCCAATGGAAGAAAAAAGCTCACCTGCTCCCTGGCCCAACCCTTAGGAAGACAACTCCATAATGCAAGCAGAAAGCTAAGCTACATTGTCAGTTTCTACATCTTACTCCACCCACAACCCTCAGCCAACCAGCAAAATTTCCCCACTCAACTCCTAATGTTCTTCTGGGTCTCCATCTCAGGCCACTGTACACTTGCCTGGTCCCCCTCACCAGCCACTGATGGATGGAAACTAGATGGTGCCATTCTGCTCAAGTGCTGGGGATCAAGTCCAAGTCCTTCATCTTACCCCAACTTGTAGACATTTAAATTTTTCCCAGTTAGGATCCTCACAATCCTGGGTCAACCCTTTGCAGTGAAGATTCTGACACTTAGGGGTTAGAAAACAAACAGCTTTCACCAACCTCATCCTGTGTGTCAGAAGCAGCTCTCTCGCCAACCTCATACTATAATATCATGACCAGCTCTAGATAAAGGTGACACTTCCACTTCCATTGCTCCAAGTCTTGTATGGTGATTACTCATAAGCAGAGAAAGTACAAGTCCAGCTAAAACCAAATGCTAGTGAGAATTTTTCTTTTTCTTTTTTTTTGGTTGGTCATGGGGCTTGAACTCCAGACCTGGGCATTATCCCTGAGCTCTTCAGCTCAAGGAGAGCGCTCTACCACTTGAGCCACAGCGCCACTTCTAGGTTTCTGGTGGTTAATTGGAGATAAAAGTCTCATAGACTTCCTTCCCTTCCCAGGCTGGCTTTAACAGCAATCCTCAGATCTCAGCCTCCTGAGTGGCTAGGATTACAAGCGTGAGCCACCAGTGCCCAGTGGAAATGTTTTCTTTCTTTTTTTTTTTTTTTGTGGTGGAAGGGCTTGAACTCTGGGCCTGAGCGCTGTCCCTCAGCTCTTCAGCTCAAGGCTAGCACTCTACCACTTGAGCTACAGCGCCACTTCCGGTTTTCTGGTGGTTTATTGGAGAAGAGTTTGGGGCGGGGGGATGGGAAGGGGAAACAAAGGAGGAGGCTACAATGCTTGATAAGAAATGTACTCATTATCTTGTCCATGTAATTGTAACCCGTCTGTACAGTATTTTCACAATTAAAAAAAAAGAAGCAAAGGAAAAAAAAAGAGTTTCACGGACTTTCCTGCCCTGGCTGGCTTGAAACCAAGATCCTCAGATCTCAGCCTCCTGAGTAGCTGGGATTACAGGCGTGAGTCACCGGCACCCGGCTGGAAATGTTTTCTTAAGAAACCTGTTAACAAGACTTTGAAACACCAAAGGGACAACTGTGGTATGTATACACTATTCCCTTAAAAAAGAAGGAAGTCCGGCTGGGAAGTTGGCTCAGTGGTAGAGCGCTTGCCTTGCATGCCTGAGGCCCTGGGTTCAATTCCTCAGCACCACATAAGCAAAAAGAAAAAAGCCGGAAGTGGCGCTGTGGTTCAAGTGGTAGGGCACTGGCCTTGAGCTGAAGAGCGGAGGGACAGTGCTCAGGCCTAGAGTTCAGGCCCCACAACTGGACCAAAAAAAAAAGAAGGAAGTCTAGCTGAGTCACATCTGTAATTCTAGCTACTTGATGCCAGCCCCAGGAGAAAAGTTCATGAGACTACTTTTCAACCCATATGCCTGTCATTACAAGCTAAGTGAGGCTGAGATTGGGAGGATCACAGTATCAGGCTAGCCTGAGTAGGAAAGTCCTTGATACTTGGTCTCTGTGAAGGAAAACTGGACAGGGTTGTTAGCAAATTTCTGTGATCTCAGCCAAGCCTAAATATGATAAGATTGTGACCTAGGTTCATACAGAGGGAAAGAGATACCTTATCCTAAAAACAACCAATTAAAGAAGACAGGACTAGTAAAAGACAAGGTTGGAGGCATGGCTGAGCAAGTTTTTCCCAGTACTACCAATGACAGAGGAGAGAGGAAATGGAGGGAGAGGGGAAATATGGCAGCTGTACCTCCAGGTTCATTCCATCTACTAATTAATTCCAAGCTACAACCCCCACCTCCCAGCATTTGCTCTACTAACAAGCATTAACTACCAGCAGCATACCAGGCCCAAGTATTTTACAAATCAACCCCAGTTCTTTTATAGACTCATCACTAACAGCTAAAAACTTTAAGCAAGGTTCCTAAACAACCTTCCCAGGACCTAGGACCTCAATAGGCAGACATAGAATGGAACCCAGTCTTCTGACTCAAGGACCATACTGCTGGCCCCCACATCATGAGAACATCATGCTTTAGGATTACTAGCTTCAACAGTCTACTTATCACCAGGAACCTCCATGTGGACCCCACTACAGGTTCCCTCCCCAGAGAGGAGATCAGGGCCATATTTGAAGGAAATGGCCAGGAGCCTCTGAGAGTTCACAGCTGCCAATCCAAGCCATCAGCCCACTCCTTAGCTATACCCAGCTGTGTGCAAGAATGAAAGGAGGCGAGGTATAGAGAGGGCCTGTCAGAGCCTAGCACACAGCAGCACTCAACACACTATGTAGTGCTTATTCACAAAGACCTGCCTTCCTGCACTAATGATGTTCAAGGGCTCATTGAGATCCTTCTATTTGGACCTTGGGCCAGACGACTTCCCACCTACCCAGGTCAGAGGGCACCTCCCATCACACACTCTCTTTAGGATAGAGTATATTCAGAGCCTGGCCTGGGATACACAAATCCAGCCCAAAGGAATGCAGAGATGAGAAGCATGACTGTTGTCCAAGGTGGCTCTGGAACCCCAAAGAATGAGGATAGAGAAGACTACAGAAGAACCAATGCCTTAACATTTTTAGACGGCCTCAGTGTTTTTACTTTTTTGGGGGGTGGAGAGTGAGGGTGGGGCTTGAACTCAGGGCCTGGGCACTGTTCCTGAGCTTTTTTGCTCAAGGCTAGCATAATACCACTTGGAGCCACACTGCCACTTCCGGTTTTCTGATGGTTAACTGGAGATAAAGAGTTTCAGTGGACTTTCCTCACCCATCTGGCTTTGAACCGCAATCTCAGTCTCCTAAATAGGATTACAGCTGGCCACCAGCGGCCAGCTCTGTTTTGACTTCAATTCTGGGAGTTACTCAAAATATTGAAAGGAAGCAGTAAAAACGTGGAGCTAAGAGAGGACCTGATAAACCTTACTTAAATGTAAGAAAAAGAGGGAACAGGACAGCTCAGCAGTAGACCACTGGCCTGGCATGAATGAAACCTTAGGTCGAATTCTGAAAAAAGAATTAAAAATTGAGATTAAAAAGAAAAAACAGGAAAAGGAAAAGTTGCAGCAGTCGACAAGAGGAAATTAACTCAGCATGCATTATAAAATTTTTCTCAATACTTATGCCATTCCTTGGTCTGCAATTCTGAAGGCAACAAGCTATCAAAGATCTTAGCAAGACCATGGGAGCATCTCAAGTTCAGTTAATTTGATATTAAGTGTGTACAGATAATAGCATCAGAATATGTGGAGTTCACCTTTTCTATGTCCTTCTAGCTGCTATCCACGAATTCTGCTCCACTATAAAGCTCAAGTGGTGTTAAAAATCAAGTAGAAGTATCTTTCTCCAAATCGGGAGGAGGGCTCCCATGAAGGGGTGTGTGATCTTTGTTCTTTGTATCATACTCAGGGTCTGGGTGCTGTCTCTTAGCTTTTTTTTTGCTCAAGACTGACATTCTACCACTCAAGCCATAGAAGTGCATCTCACTCTGAACGAGTCTTTTAAATATCTTAAAAAGCCATTCCCAGATTCAATGACATCGCCTTCTGGAATAGGTGCCTTCCACGGGGAGTTGGTCCTGATCCCCTTCCTTACCTCGCTTGAATTCCTCCAGGACGGCGTCTAGCTTGGTGTCGTTAAAGACGAAGTGAAGTGGATGGTTGTAGAAGCGGGTGATGGTGGTGAGTGGCGTGCAGTCTTCGGGGTCCACGAAGGCCAAGTCCTTGAGATAGAGCATGTCTACGATGTTGGAGCGCTCGTCCTCATACACTGGGATGCGCGTGTGACCGCTCTGCATGATGCTGGCCAGGACGCCGAAGTCCAGCACGGCGCTGGCGTCCAGCATGAAGCAGTCTTCGAGCGGGGTGAGCACGTCCTCCACGGTCCGGTAGCGCAGCACGCCCTTGCTCAGGTCATGGTAGGGATCGCCACCGCCGCGCGCCAACTCCAGCACCCGCTCGCGTAGTCGCCCGGGCCTCGCTGCCATCTCCAGTAACTGCCCCACGGGCAGCGCCACCGGCAGGGTGAGCAGCACCGCCAGGCGGCTGAGACCGAGGGCTCGGGGCGCCAGAGCCAGTGCCCAGCGCCCGCTCACGGCGGCCGGCAGCACCTCGCCCACCAGAAACACGAGCCCTGCGCAGCCCAGCACGGCGGGCACGGCGCGTTGGCCCGCTGCGCGGTACAACACCACCGCCAGGGCCGCCTGCGCCAGGCTGGCGAGGAGTAGCAGCGCGCCCAAGGCGCAGCCGGCCCAACGCCGAGCCGGT